TAAATTCTGAACCATATTTTGATTGCAAATGTAATGCCATTAGTGACTATATATGTTAATCAATGACAAGGAATTTCAGATTATTAAATTTAATTCCACTCAAATCAATCAATTTCACTGTTTCACTGCCCAACTTTCACTGGGAAAGAACCTTTCAAATAAAAGCCATTTTCTTGTCTGAAATATTTTTTGTTGTCTCCTTGTTTTTCACAAGTGTTTTTAATTACTGTTTCATACTGTCCAAACTTTTCTATTTTACAACAGTTGTCTATGACTACCTCAGATGTGAATGATTCATTTTTAACAGGTACAAAATTGCACAATAATTAAGGCACAGAAGACTTTCTGTCAATAGCAAAGATATCTATGTGATCATCATAACTGGAAGAGTTCAAGTATGGAAAGCTTGCCTAGACTTTGATGGCAACTTAAAAAAGGTGGAAAAAACAGAGTCTAGCCCACACAACTTCCTACAATTCAGTATAAAACAACCAATTTTTCCAAGATACCCATTTATGTTCCTATTTCCTCTTAATAATTGAATTTTTAACAGAATTGTGGCTAAAGCCAGCTTTTCTCAGCTATCCACATTTGTTTTCTGCACAGAAATAGGAATAAAGTTTCTGTTTGTTTTATTGGGTTTTTTTTAAGAAGCCCTGCAGGTCAGCATAAATGAATACTTCTGCACCACAGGGCACAGAGTCCTTCCCACTAATCCAAGGGCTGGAGTGAACTCTTGTCATAAAGCAGGCATGGAATGTCAGCTCCCTTCTGTAATTTCCATTCAAGTCAACTGAACAGCAACTGCTTGAGCAACAGCACCAGTTTACAGTGACACAGTAAAGTCCTTCCTTTACCACAGATAAATGAGCTCTGCCTGACATGTTCTGCTGATGAAATGCAGGACTATATATCTTCTCTGAAATATCTATTGTTTTGCAGAGTTTATAGCAGGAAGTGAATCAGGAGACAGAGACATTTTAGGCAAAAGTCCTATTGTAAAGCCAACAGTAATGAAGTAGCTTTAGGAATAATACTGTTTCTTTTATACTAATTAAGTTCCTCAAGCCATGTACAGAAGCTATTCTCTGGGAATCTTATTAATTCCTTCCATGTCAAAGAATTAATAGGGAGAAAGGTTAGTGCCCAGGAAGCAAGCCCCCCTATTCAACTCTAACAATAAGCTCCTTCTACACTGATGCCATTATAACAATTCCTGTAGCTGTTTAGAGCTTGTCCATTTAATTCTTCATACAATACTGTCCTTATGCCAGGGAGCACTGGAGCATATGAAGAACAGTATTTTAGGACTGAGACACACATTTATATCAGCTCTGCCTGGTAAGTTATTATACTAGTCAAAGTCAGAACTTTTGAGAACTGTTATTTCCGATTTATTTTGTTCTTCTGAAAGCCAAACAGTTTCTTGGTGAGATACATTTGGAGGATGACTGGCCCAAGGCCACAGTTAGTTACTCAGAACTAAGAGCTTGTCTGCTCACAGTCACTCAGATTTAAGCCCTCTCAGTCAGAGTTGAAACAGGCTTTAACCTTTTGGAGAATCAGACTCCAGCAAAAAGAGCTACCTTACCTTTGAATGAGAGCACCCACATGAGGTTTATCATCTTTTATTATACGTCAGCATCACTCCTGTAGTGAATTCCCCTTAACTCCTGCAGCAGACAGCTGCCTTAAGTGCGGAACACATCTCCCTCATCACCTCAGTTCCAGCTCTTAGCAGAGTGTGCCCCAAGCTCTCATCAGCCTGGGCACCACTGGGTACCATTAGTTCTATCCTATTACAGCAAGAGATTTAGTCAAATATGCAGAAGTGAAAAGGTGAAGATTTTATCTCTGAGGAAGCAAATAAAGTTTTCCTTTTCAGTTTCTCTTCCTCCTAACTTGATTTTCATCTTTACCTTTCAAGACCAGGCACAAACCAGCATCTCACAGCATAATATCCACATATCACCCTCTTCCTTCTCCCACAGAACTATTAGCTATAACTGCTTTTGTTTCCTTGGCACCCTCCAAGTCTGCAGAAAAGCTGCTTTAAGCACATTCATTCCAGCTAACACAGAATCTTTCCTTAAATCCCTTCAGAGAATTTTTCAACGAGTCTTAAAAACAGACATTACGTAGCAACAGAGCTTCCTAATTTTGAGTTTCTCAAGAACATTTCACTGACGTACACAAGGCTTCAAGTTCTGCATAGAAAATGAAGAATTGCTGCTCACTTAGATTTTTTTCCTGGGGTTTGTGTTGTGGTTTTAAGCCCAGATGGAGATGAAACACCACCCAGCCGCTTGCTTAGCTTCCTCTGTTCCCCTTCCCACACTGGTGGAGTGTGGAGAAGAACTGAAGTAGAACTTGTATGTTGAGGTAAGAATAGTTTAATAATTGGAAGTAAAATAAAATGCAGTAATAGTGGGTAGTAGTAGTAGTAGTAGTAATAATAATAATAGGGAAAAAAAAAAGTGATGCACAATACAACTGCCCACCACTTGCAGACCCCCTCTCCAAACCCAAATCATCCCTGCTGTGTAACTCCCCCAGTTGAGAGACTGGCCATGACATTCCATGCTGTGAAATATCCTGGCCAGTTCAGATCACCTGCCCCAGTTGTGCTCCTTCTCTCTTCCTTTTGGGCACTTCCTCACTGGCAGAGCATGAGACAAGACAAAAAAATAGTCCTGGACTTAGGATAAACACAACTTACTAAAAAACCAAAACATCAGTGAATTATCAACACCATTCTTATTCCAAATCCAAAACACAGCACTGCAACAGGTACTGAGAAGAAATTAATTCTGTCCCAGTTGAAACCACGACAGTTTAATACTGATAGTCAGAAAACCAATTTTAGTATATTAGAATTCCATGCTATTTCAGTTTTGCTCCTTAAAACTTCCTTTACATACATAGGTTTTTCAGATGTTAGAAGTGAAAATGTAATTAGGCCTTCAAACTTCAACCTCTGCAAAAAGCCTGTCAAGAAAAGGAAATGAGGAGAAAGCAGTCTGATGTATATAATCACTAGACTATTGTGTTTAAAAAGAAAATGGAATGAGATCAGGAAGAGAGGGTCACTGCATTTGCAGGGTCTTTGAATTCTTGCTCTTTAAAGAGAACACTGCATGACTAAATTAATGTTTGGGTCAGCAAGATAAATTACTAGTAATACATTGGTTGGAGATAGAACTAAAATGTGGTATCAACATTTGAAATCTTAATTCTATTTCTGATATTATTTGCTTTGTAGTCAAAGATTTCTGTTAGGCTTTTATTTTCCTTTTTTCCCCGAGTTAGTAATATTTCAATGCTTTTATTTTGAGGTAGTACTGATAATTTACTAGATATTTTACAAAGATATTTCATCCTCAAGGGTTTGAAATATGCTTTCCCAATACTACACTGGGCCAGAGAGAAGGATTTGCATGTTTAGAACTGATAGGTCTGCTACAAGAACATCTTCCATACAAAATAGTTCTTTACAAATATTTTAATTTACTTAATGTATCTGCTATACACTGGGACAGAAATCTTTGAAACCAACAGCAAGATTTCCAGTCCTGACTTTTGAAATATTGAATACTGAGGATGCAATCTTAAATAAGCTGACCCTTTCCAAGCCAGCAGAAACCCTCTGAACAATTAAATAAGAATATTCAGCATTAGTAATATTACAGATTACCATTACTATTTTGTGTTGTTTGTCTATATTCTGGAGGCTCTGCTTCAACTCACAGCCTACCTGTAATAACAACACTGCCAACACAGAGTACCACCAACAAACTAGTTTGGAAAACCAAGATTATTTAGATGCTATTATCAGTATTGGATCATTGTGAAATTACACCTACAAGTATCCCCTGGATTCAGTCTCCATAGCTTTCCACAGCAATTAAATCCTAAAAACCTAGACCTGGTTTTGTTGTCATTTTAAGCCTTCCCAGAAAGGAGTGCTACTGTTGCAATACAAGAATACCACAACAACATATCCTCTGCCCCAGCCACTACAGAAATTAATCACAAGCAGTGAGAGAAAGCTTCATTTTCCTTCTATCACAGTATCCTTGTCATGTTACCTGTCAGAAATACAATCATACTACAAAATACTATTTACTACAGGCCCACAGTCCCTAGGGCTGTTACTACTTTCCACTTTATCCCTAACAGGCAGTTGGGGGTAAAACCGGAAATATCTGCCCACTAAATATCATGTAATTAAAACAACACTACTGATGATCAACACATCTGACTACACCTCTACTTAAGAGCAGCTTGCTTGTCAAGGCTCAAATATATAAGCAAGACTTACAGTTAGAAAGTGAGAAAAACCAAATCAACCCTCCACCACCATCACCAATTCACCCCCCATGAGAAAACCCAAACAGAAAACCCCAACATATGAGACCTGGAATTTAGGTGAGCTTTACCATCCTGCAGTGATCATCTTGCCTTTGCCTTATTTACTTCAAGAGTCAACTAGAGTATGCTTTTGTAGAGGCCAGTGAAAAGATTCAAGTCTGATGGAGAGAGAATCAGTTATTTTAGGGGAATATACAAGATTAATGAAGATTATGCTTGGAATGACTCAGTCTACACATTTCATTCTTTACTGCCAGGATAAACCCCAGATTCTGTGTAAGGGTATTGGTATAAGCCCAGCCCTCCTCTGCCCTCCCTCCCCAACACAAGCTGCTCTTGCTAGACTGTATTCAACTGTCCCAGAGACCATGATTTGCTGCCCTCTTCTAGAAGGACCTTCCAAAACAGGTGAAGTGGTGCAGTTGCAGGGAATCTGGTTTAGGTGTTCAAGAAACTAAAAACTTTTGGGAGAGTTAAGTTAAACGTTACAAAAAAAAAAAATTAAAAAAAAAAATAAAAAAACAAAGTAAGGAAGGAGGGAGAATGATAATAAAAACAACCAATGCATGTTACCATTTACAAATAACCACCCAATATGTGGTGGAAAGTCAAGGTGGAAGCAACAGCCCATCACAGACCCCACTAGTTTATTTATATGCTTTGCTGTTCGAAGACTGAAATACCCATTTTTATCTTTTGCTCCTTAGTTTTGGTAGTTAAGTTTTGCATCTTAGTTTTGGTAGCTAATCATCACAACTGTTCTTATCACAGCAACCAGAAACAGCTTGCCATGTGCAACAATATTTTTGTTAAATAAAATATACAAAAAATACAGATATTTGACTTATATACATGCATAAATACAAGGGGAGATTCTGGTGCAAATAAATATTTATCATCAACTTCTAGCAATGAATTTTATCACAGTATCTGGTTGTCCTGTCTGTCTTCCACAGGCACGCACTATCTCAAAATAAAAATTAATGGCTAGTGAAACACTCCATCAATATACCATTGAAACACTCCCTCAGTCCATAAAACTTCCTAAAGACTTCCCATAAAACTTCTTTAAAGAGTTAGCAGCTCAGAATACTTAAAGGAAACAAAAACCCCCAACCCTCAGTATATAAAGACTTGCTTTTCAATTTGTTAATACTGGTTATAAATCAATAGCTGCATTAACTGGCAATAGCCTCATGTACATGTACTGCTGATTTTTTCTAGCTGCCCTTCTTTTACTACAAGAATCTGAACCACCACTGGGAAAATATTAATACTTACCACCATCATCCTTTTATAGAATCCACAGCTCATTTATTATAGACAGGAAGGGATAGGCTACTAGAGGAAATAAATACTAACGTAAACAGCAAGGAGTTTCTTTCAGAATACACATTTTGAGTTGCCATCTTTATAAATAAAGTTCTTGATCATTACTGAGCATTAGCTTATACAAATTATATAAACATAATCGTATATACACACACACTCCATATGTATTGTTGTAATAATTACCAGGTCAGTATATGTCTAGTACAGTTCCTGGGTTTCGAGTGTTTGTTTCACTTTTCAAAGGCTGTTTTGTCTCTGTTAGTATTTCCTACATGCAATGTAGCAAAACACAGGAATCTGTTCCAAAACTTCAAGCTATTCTTGATGTCTTCCTACCAAGAGTGCAGCTGTTTTTTCTGTCATCACTTCCAGGTGGTCAGGACAGGCTTTCCTGAATCTCTTGCCCGGCTTCCTTTGGCCCCCGTGGACTGCCCAGGACGGCCCCGCAGGTCGCGATCGGTGCCATCGCTCTGCGCCATCTCTTCGTCGTATCTGGAGGGGAGAAAAACCCTTCAGTGCCTTGTGCTGCTACACAAACAGCAGTGGGTCCTGTACATTCCACTTGTACATTCTATTCTGCTTACTAGCTAGAACTGGAGTTTGATACAAGCTGTTCTACACACAGCTTCATGTAGGCATAGCATGACATGCAGCTATGATTCTGTGAATCTATAATTTTACAATACAGATAATCTAAAATATCTTCAGCCCCCGTTTGAAAGGAACAAGTCATCTGGCAGCTTTAGTTAAACTCCTGAGTTTGTGAAATTTCGTGCTTGTGAAACTCCCCATGTACTTCTGCAGGCCTGTGGTAAAGCAGAACATCAGACTGCTGCCAGTTCAAGCAACTCCTGAGCTATTGCTTCAAAGAGAGGATTGTTAGCTGCAGTGTTAAAACTCCCCTATTGCATCACAGACAGAGAAGGGAAAGAATGAGGTGAACTAAACATCCATGTGATCAAAAAAATGCAAAAAAATGCATTTGGTGACTTCAGTATTTGGTAACACTTAACCACAGTGATGAGTGGTTCTGTAAATATCTAAATCCATTATAGCCTCAGAGAACCTCAGCATATACTGACATTTCAGCTGTGAAGCAAATTCCAAGCAGACTTTGGTTATAGATAGGTAATTGTAATTAACAAAAGATAGTACTAAAAGTATTTGTAGAAAAATCATAACATATACTTAGTGATACTGTTTTATAAATATTCATAGCTACCATGTGTATAACATTCATTAAATCTTAAATCCTAATTCAGACCACTTATATTTAACTGTTTTCACTAGTATAGGGAAAAAGTATTTAAGATGAGTATGAACTAGTGGATCAGCTATGTACATAAAGTGCAGTACTGACATACTGAGCAATTGCACCACTAGTGCTAGAGAACCTATCCACACATTTTCTCAAAAAAGATGAGAAACTGTGTCAGCAATATGGTATTCAAATCCGTGTTCTTCTTCATAAAACCAATCAATCCTAGACAAATCTTGCAGACACTCCAATATAAAAATCTCCGTTTCTTTCATTTCTCTTCTTATAATACAGATCAAGGAATTAAAAAAATGCCTGGCAATTTTATTATTTATTATTACATTCATGAATTACAGGACTCAATAGGCATTATTTCTAGGAACTGAGAGAAAATTTGCATCAAATAACTTTTAAACCAGAACCAACTATTTTAAGTGTTTAAGTACCATGTATATATCAGCCACCATACAATTAAAGTTCTGCACATGTAGAAGATTCTCTTTGCTTCTGTCCCTCAGTTCTAGCTTCTGGAAGCTCAGAAGGTGTAAGCAGGGGCTTTTCAGACATTCCCTCTGGACACGAGGCAAAGGAACTCTACTTTAATGCATCCCCACCTCCAATGCAGCTCCAAAGAAACAAAGTGGTACTTTGTGCCCATTTTTCATATCAGAGTGAAGTTCACCACGTCTTTTTGCTCTACACATTATACATAAAAAAAGTGAGGTGACAGAAAAACATTAGCCTTTATATGAAACATTGATAAAACTTACAAGACTTCATAATTGCCCAGAACCTCTTTTGGTGGAGATTTATTCCATTTGCAGTCAGGAATTTCCCCGTTAGGCACAGCAATGTTAAGTGTGTCATTAATAAGATTATACTTCAAGATGCGATCATTGGCGGTGCTGGAAGTAAGAGAAGGGGAAGCATTAACCTACAAAAGGAGAAAAAAAATAACCAGTCAGTATCAGGGGTTTTTTTTTGGAGTGTTCTCCAAACAGCATGTGTGATGTCTGTGTGTGCCATAGGGGAAATTGAGCCTTGGTGGCTCAAAGCACATCTTTCAGTTCCTCAGGCACTGGAAGGAATTCCCCACTGGGCACTTTTCTTTTTACTTAGACAGGAAAGTACCACTCTGTTAAGTGTCTGCAGTGTCAGCCTGAAGATTTCTGTTGAGATGAGATTCACCAGGGTAAATCAGACAAGACAGAATTTTTGTTTCATTTTCTGTTTACATGGTTACAAACCCGATACATCTGAGTACTTAAAATTTGCCCAGTTTACATGACCCACTGTCAGACACAGAAATCTGTAGCTCTCTTCTGGGTAAACAACTTTTCTCTAAGTTCTTATCTGAGTTCTCCTCTGTTACACTGTGAGCTGAAAAGTGCTCTATTCAAAGCACTACATTGTATCTTGCTCTAATTAAACCTGATTCATTTAACAAATCTTTGTTCTACATTTATTTTGGAGAAGTAGCATCAGAACAATAAACAGATAATTTTTTTTAATGAAGTTCGCTTTGAATTAGATTGAGAAGGAAGAGAGATGGATAAAATGTATATTAACATACAGATCTAAAGTTAATACACCAAAGAGAAATTTATGTCAAAAATAAATTAACTTTCCAAATATCCTAATTATCCTTTGTATGCCCGTTTTGTTTCCTCTCAATCTCTATTAAGGCATGACAGCATTTAAAAATTATATTTGATATTATGCTCCATCAAGTCAATGCCCATTTTCCAGGTACTCATCCAGTCTTTAGCAAGGCTGCTAACATTCAGACTGCCTCTCAAGTGCAGTTGTATGCATGCACTGGATTTAGAAACCAAAACAGAAAGCCACAAACAAATAGAAACAACAAAAAAAGAGGAAAGAAAAGCACATGCTAGGTCATCACATGACCTATTTCACTTTCCAATATTTTTCTTAATCCACTTACCTGATAAACAAAAAGTATAGTTTAAAAAGAGTAAAGACCACGTTGAAATATACTTAATTTTATTCTGTGAAATGAGAAAGCAGTTCTTCCTGTATTTTATAAGACTTTACCTCAATTAGCCAGGGTTTAAGTCTGTCATCAATGATAATGTCATATCCATAACACTCAAAGCAGTGTTTATCATTATTCATCACAGGCTGGGGAAATAGAAAATACAGTAATGTGTATTAATTTCTACTCTTCAGTAAGTAACCCAATTACACACTTTCTTTGCTAGAAATCACATGTGATGACATTATGAATCTTTTATAACACTTTTCAGTGCTGTAACTCAAATATAGGCTTGCTAACAAGTAGGTTCAGCATTGCCTCTTTTTTGAGGCTGTATGTAAATATTTCAGTACTAATGATTGCATTGATGCCAAATATTAAGTTATGTTAATTTCCCATTATGTCTCCATATTGAAAGTAAGTGTTCTCATACTTTCCAAAAGTAATAACTATATTTAAAGCTTGCATCAGGAGAAAACAGAAAGTTTGAAAATTTACAGCTTCATATAATTGTAAATTCTTTAAACTTTAGAAAAGCAATTCAAAGACATTTCTTTTATTCTGCTGTTGTAACTATGCAGAGATTTTAGGTCAAACAATTACAAAATACATTTTAAAATTATAGTTACTCAATGTAACTATAACCCCAACGCCAAGAGAGACCAAGAATCAAGTTGTGCTTTGATGCACATCCTCTAGAGAACCAGGAGCTTTCCAGCATCTACTATACATTTGCAGTATGCATGGTATAATACTTTCTTCTATGTGAATCTCATTAGATATTTTAGAGAAAACTTTGTGAAGGTTTCTAAGATGTTTCCCCATGACTAATAATGAAGCTTTTCATTTCTTCAGGGACCAAAAGGGGGAAGGAGGAACAAGAATCTAATTACACGTGCCATTGTCAGAAGGACAGAGGAACGACAAATTTCATTCTACATCATTCTCACTACTTTTCCTCTTCTAAGGTTATGCAAACATTTGATCATATCCCTTTTCTTCTCCCAAGTAGCTTCAGATATGATTGCACAGCAGAAGCCAGGGTAAGCCATGCTTCCCCAGCTCCCACTGATCCTAGCTGCACGACCTTGTCCCTGTTTCTTGTGCTGATTTTGGTGTTCATCTGCTCCTTCCGTGACTCAGCTTATTCCCCTGGCAGAACACCAAGCCATCAATAAAGCAAGGTAGTAATTGTCAGTGCACAAGTGAGCTGATTCAGCTCTAAACGGTGCCAGGATCAACCCAGGAGAGATGACAAGACAATGTACTTGGGACCAGGAGAGAGTCCTTGGCAAGAATGAGCTCCTCAGTTATCCCCACTGTCTCCCAGAGTGATACTTGCCCTGTAATGTGATCATAGAATATTACCTACACACTAGAAAGTCACTCAAGCAGAGACTGCTGTTGCTTTTTTTAAAATAAATTAATGTTAACTCTGTGGCTTGTGTATAAAAGTGGTGAAAGTATGTTATGCAACTCTGACGAACTAATAGCCTTAGGTTTCCTTTGATAAATTGTCCTCCAGAGATCTTTTTTTTTCTTTGACACATTTGTTATTGCTGGAATGACGTCACACATTCTGGCAGAACTTCATACTGTTCACAAGGGCAGTAACAAGTCATATTAAATAGCTCACAAATCCCTCAAGGAAAGAGGGAATTCACTCCTCCAAATATCCACAGACAGCTCAACCCACTCACCCAACCAAGATTCAGTTCCTTCATCTCAAGTGATATCAAGAAATCAAGAGATAAGAGAGCTGCAGAAATCAGCATCAACACCATCACTCAAAGAGCAGAAAATAGATGTAGGGGTTTGAATGGCAAGCTCACATCCATGGCTCTGGGAAGCCTGCAGCTGGAATGCAATTGGTGGCTGCACTCACCGCAACAGCCTTCAGAGACTGCACAATTATCCAGTGAATTTCATCAAATAATTTGTTGGTGACTTCCTTTCCTCGGGTGCTCTCCAGATACAGGCGTAAGTTACTCACTGTCCACTTGCCTCCATGGATATGGTTGTAATCATCCTGAAGAGTTAAGGAGTTCACTTAGTCTAAGATTTTGAAGTTGTTCAACAGGTTTTTTTCATCCCAACAAAAAGTCCCCTTATACTTACAAGTACTGCTGTAAAAACAAACCTGCCTAATTGCTCTTGCAGGTTTATAAAGACCTCAGCTTTGAACTGCCCTCTACATAAACAACTGCTTTTATTATAGCTCTAATATGCTTGTATCACACATTGCAAATCAAGTAATAAATCTTTCTTGGAGAAAAAAACAATGGGTACTTTGACAGTTTTACAGTAAAGTATGACTTATGATTTGGAAATAGAAGTTTTAAAATGTGAAAGGAAAGAACTGAATGTTTTGCTCCTCTGGGGATAAGGAAAAAACATTTAATGGGCAACAGCAGAATTTCACTGTAGGTAGCTGTTGTAAAATGCAGCCCTTGAAAGTGTTTGTCTGTGTTTATTTATATAAAGTACAACTTGTCTGTTCTCTGGTATCTTCTTAATGGTGCTACTGATAACAGTTACATTCAAGAACATAGTGAAATGACACCTGAATTGTTTTTAAAAGTTAAAATTTTCAAGTAATTCAGTACAAAACCCCACAAAGTGTTACTGAAACTGAACTGGGGAAAAAGGAGGTTCCCTTATGTTGTCTTTTCAGAGGCTATCAAGGCTCTGCATTATTTCTCTTTAAATGGAAAGACAAGAGCAAAGCAAGGGTTGCTCATACTGATGGAAAGGCACATGTTCAGCCCTCAAGGAATTCTCAGGACAAATGCTTTGTCCCTTTATAAAGTGTTCTCCTCAGAGCATTTCTGAGAATTAATGATTGTATGCCTGCTAAATTACAAAACATAGAATGCATAGAGCAGAAAAAGGTTCTCAGAAGAACAAATTCTGTTGTCCTCTAGGACAAGGTCAGAGAAGCATCTATCTTATTATTAGGCTTTCTCCTACAGCTCCCCCCTTAGTAAATTTTGAAAACTGGACTGGACAAATAAAGACCTGAAACATGGTTCTCAGGATTTGCTTCATTGAAAAAATGTCTTGAGACCAGATTCCAACAAGGGAACAGAGATCAAAGTTTCAGCCCTCTTTGCCCTTCAGAACAAGTACTCAAATCAAAATAGATTGCACCTGGGTAGAGCTTTACAGAGTCACAGTTATTTAATTAAAGACATTGAAACGAAGTGACAATAATTATGTATAAGAATTATTGTTGTTCTGTTTGTATTACACGTGCATTTTCCAGCACCTGACCACAATTTTTACCAATTACTGGCAGCCCAAATTAGGTACAGTTTTAGAAGACTATATAGTCTAAATGCCTCCGAAGTTACAGGCACATTTAAAACAGAATAGGATGGGTAGCACAGCTTTACATTAAACTTCTCTTGTGCCCTTCTGCAAGACTGAACAGATATCAGTGATTTACAATTTATAAAAAGCTTTTCAAATATTCTAGTAATAATTCCACATTCTTAGGCTGCTACTTCTATAACCATTTCTGTTGTCCTTTATTCTAAGGGACCTTACCACCACAGTCACTCCTTTTATTTGGGGAAAATCTTGAAGGCCATTCTTTAAGTGGTAGAGAAGATGGAAAGGTGCATAATAACAAGGCAGGCAATGTACCATGTGCCTCACACCTTAACTGCTATGGCAACAGCACCAGGATTTTTTTCTCTAAGTTGTATGGGACCTGCTTTCACCATAGGTAATTCTCAGTGTGCCCTGTCAAACCCAAACATGTTTGAAGCACTTCACAAATCAGCACCTGAGCAATAAAATGTCTATAGTACTGAAAAATGGCATATTTGACCACTTACCCTGGTTTAGAACTACCAACATTAGCATTCACATTGTTGTTACAGTAATATCCAGACAAAAGCAGCTCTGCTATGGGGCACATCTTATGGAACAATAGCAGAGAAGGCACATTAAGCAAGGTTTCAATTTAAGATACATTGCATGTATCTTGTGTATGAGTGCACATGTATACCTACATTAATATAACCAGGAGCATGTGTCTGTGTGTGTGTCCATACATATTATTTTCCATACCATTCAAACAGAGCTTCTGGCATTAGGAAGTGCAACAATAGAGTTTTAATGACTGTACCCGAGGCATGTAAATTTGTAAATCACAGACATCCGCTAAAAGCACCGAAGGGACAATCATTATCAAGTCATTGCCTGAAGGAACAAGGCTTGGGAAGTGACACTTGATAGCTTCTATGTCACCCCTGCCCCACTAACCTTCCCTCCTCACTGCTGAATTTCAGCCTACTTTGACATAAGGAAGGGCTGTGAAAGCTCTCATGTTTCCACATGAATATCAATGGAAAATTACGGGGCAGAACTGTCCTGCAGACAGAGCTCCAGCTTTGTCCATGCAAGAGGAAGCCACCAGGTGGCCAGGCAGCATTCATTTATCTCAAGTCTGCAACTGCACATTCCCTTTGTTTCCCACAGAAGGAAGGCAGGGGGCAGGAGTTTGGGGGAACATTGGAAGAAGCTGGAAAGTCCTGTGATGAATAAGTGCTAGAAAGAAAAAACTGAATTAACTGCCAGAGAGAGAGAGGGAATAGGGAATGAGGAAGGAGATATTAAGCCACTATTATAAAGTATATATCCACATGATCCAAGCTCATTAATTTCATTCTTCAATGCCAAAGTGAACATATTGGCTTTTAAATGAAAGGAGACCTCTGCTCTCAACTACTATGAGTCAATACTGAAAATATCACACTCTATTAGAGTTCCAACTCATTATCCTGACTTCTAATTTGTAGTTTTCTAAAATTTCTAAATTCTAAAATATAATTATTTGTGAGTGCAAGGTGAAGTATTTCAATTGCAAGATGATGAAGAGTATGACAAAACCTTTTGATTCCAAATTTTTTGGGACAATTTAAGAAAATCAGTCTTGCTACAAAAGAGCATCTAAGAAGTCAGCACACTTACCCCATGTTTTTGAATGGCAACGTTTGTAAGATGTACAAACATGTTATCCAGTTCACTTGTACTTGGTGTGTATTTCACTGTGCAAAACCGGCAAAATCCAAGCTTGTACCTTAAACGCAAAAAGTGATTAAAATGTGTTAAATCCCTGTAAGAAGTAAGGAAGTGAGCATCCTAGGATACCATTTACAGGTCATGCTTCTTTGTGCAACATGCACAACATTCTTTTGACTACACTGGACATTATCTCTAAACAAAATACAAAGACATGCATCCTTACATGTAACATCTCAGTGGACGGTAGGTAGACACTAAAACATAGAGACGAAGATCAAATTTCTTTCCACCAATTAGTAAGGGATTGTTGATGTAGAGGGAAATTACATAGGCTTCTTTGGAAGACTGAGACACAAACCTGAAAAACACAAACCATGTCTCACAATATGGTATTTGCAACAATAAAATCGCTGAAGTCTTTTACTTCTGTAAATTTTGAGTTGACTGAAATCTTGCCTCTTTTGCCAAGGCAATATATTAAGTTGTGGTGGTTAATAATACACACTTGGCATCAGGACTTATATACCAAAAACAAAGCTGAAAATACTGTTCAGACGACCAAAATCAATTACTCATTTAAACTCCCACAGCAGCTGACCAAGCCATTCAGAATGCAGCTCTACAATCCAGCCATTTCCCTTGAAGAGAATTTAGAGCTTGGCAAGGTCCAGACAAGCAAAAAGAATGTAGTGCACTACCTTCATTATTCAAAGTCTGGTACTACTGGAATATTTGCATTTCTGCTTGGTGTGCAATTGCAAACCACTGTGAAAAGTTAATATAACTTTCAGATTGTGACACTCTTCAGATTCCAAATCAAACGGGGAAAAATACTCAAATGATATTCAGTCAGTCACTTGATCACAGGAAAAAACAGTCATGTGATCAAAACTAGTCAGAAAAAAACATAAAATTGCTAACCTATTTCATCCATTTGGAATGAGATCATGAACAAGATGTGTATTATTTTGCGTTGTAAAAGGAAAATACATTTATTTCATAGAAATGCATTCTTCCTTTGTACTAATTTAAAAAGTTATTTAATATATATTAAACAATTATTGAAATTGCTGAGGGGAAGATTTTTCTCTTGCTTCCTGTTATTTAATTCTGAGAAGCAGAACAATTTCTTTCTGTGCAAGTTTTTCCTCAAAAACATTGAAGGCAATTTTATAAAGAATTTAACAGTTCCATGTACCTCCTCATACCAAAACAAGTTGTATAACCTGTTGAATGAGGAAACCAGATAACAACTGATATTAAATGTACACCTAACCATAAAATGACAAAGCAATAATAATAAAGGAATATTTTTCCCATGCATCAGACAATCAGCATGATGATGTAGTTCACCTAATTACAGAAAGTACAATAAAAGGTTAGGTTTTAAGAACTTACGAAGATGTTTTGCTGTCTCGAGACCATTTTTTTATTTGAGAGAGTTTATTGATTAGAAATATTCCTTTTCCTTGAGCTTTGCCACAAGGTTTCATAATCCATGTGCTGGAGGGATTCTTTCTGAATTCTTCAACGAAGAGATTATAATCGGCAGGAAGCATAAAAGTCACAGGAACAAAATCTGAATTAAGGGGGAAAAAGGGTGCACGATTAAAGACACTCTATCTGATAAGGCTATTGACACATAAGGACTGAAAAAGAAAAGGTCTGTATTTTCAGTTTTCCCGTCTGGCAAGATCCATCTTCGTTAAGACTCATGTTGCTTTTTATCTCATTTATATTCTAGTTTTTACTTAAAAAATTGCAAAATGCTGCAGAATGCTAACTTCATAGTAATAGGTTGTAATTAATGTGAATAGATTTTCTTCTCCCATTTATATGCTGTGCAATTAGAGTATTAGATACCATTCCAACTAAACAATTAAAATGTTGCGATTTCCTGTATCAACTTTCACCATTCTTTATCATGCTTTGTGCAGGCAAAAATCTCCTTTGGCTGTGTAGTTTTTATTTACATGTAACTCCCATTATTCTTATTATATCTTATTCTGAACTCCTATTATTCTTCTTTGCTCCCACACTCAGTTTTACCATGATTACTAAAACCTAAAGAAAAACAATTTTCACTTTTTGCTATTAAATTATCTTCACTTCCATCCTTAAAGAACTGCCTTCTTACGCGAATGAAGTGTTTTCATTTCATTTTTCCATGATGTAATTCAACTTCACATATCCCACTCTGTTTCATTTCAATGCTTTCTGACTTCCAAACCAACTCTGCTTTCCTCATTCCTGATCTATTCTTGGTTAGTTTTGGGTTCCTTGGGTATTTTTTTCCCTGGTTTGCTTTTTATTTTATTTTCTAGCAGTCATTATTAGCTCTCCAACTTCTCCCAAATTTCCCCTCTGAAGTGTTTGTTCATTCAGTTGTCTAGAGCCTTTCTGCGAAGTTTTAGTTTTTGCTCCACTCTAAGATTTTCACATAATGGTTTTTCACTTTTGAGTTAAAGAAACTGCAACCCCCTCACATATGAAGTAGCAGAGCCCTTTGGTTTCACCACTAACCTAATTCCAAAGTATCTTAAACCCACAATTTTCCCTCTCCAAAATAATTTTTGAGGAAACCCCAAATGAATCAAACCCAAAAGAGGAATAGAGCACTTCAAGGTAGCCACTTTAATGTCATAACACTCCAGAGGTTCAGTGCTTCATGCACAAAAAAGCTGCTTTGATTCCAGTTATTAACTCCCTAAGAAAAAAGCTGAATGCTGATAATAAGAACAGCATACCCAAATAAATGTATTTCCCATTTTCATCCTTTTCTGCAAGAGGACTTCCTTCTTTCTCAAGTTCTTTTCTGTATCTCTTGATATTCTTTACCATCAAATCTTTTCTGGTCAGCTCATAGTGGTTTGGGAAATGATTGACAATTTGGTCATCAGAGAGGCGGTAACCGGTTTCCACACTGAACACATTTCTGATTGTTTGGACGCTCATCCTGAAACCAAAGACAGACACCAAATGATTTCTCTCAAGAAACACACCTCAGGATGACAAATTAGAGATCTTTTCCTTCCAATTTCTTCATCTTTTCTCTCTCTCGTTTCTCTTTGTATTTAATACTTTGCTGCAGTGGCAATCCAACATAACCTGAAGTTCTATTAACAAAGCAAATGGAATCCTGCTGAAGGTTAATCAGTCCCTCTGCTACTACTGAAATCGGTGCAGGAAGTGAGGACAGAAAGATGACAAATGGGTCCTACTCGACTCTGGCTTGTTGATAGTCAGGTCAATCCCCAACAGGGCCCAAAAATGACTGAAGTGCACCCAAATGCTACAGAATCCTCTTTCTAAATCTGTTACATCACACACTTGAAGCTCACCCTTCCTCTTCAAAAAAGCCACAAATCCAACCTCCTACTGATTGCCTTGTACTTGGATTACAAAGGAATTCAAACATAAGACTTGAAAACTGGTTAAAAGATCTTGCTAAAAGCAAGATGTTTAGTTACATACCAGATGAAAGTGCTGCAGTGACAGAGTCATCAAGTCAATTATCAACTGCGTTTTTCACAGAAGATAAGAGTAGGGACACAGATGCAAAGAATTTTTCATATTAGATGTCTCAATGTGAAAATTTAAGAATATTTCCTGAATGCCACTAATCTGCTACATTATCATTTCAGGAAGAAAAATAAACTAACCCAAAACAACACAACCAGTCACACAGCAATTTCCATGAGTGTCTCCCCACTCTCCCAACTGCATTCCAAAAGCATGACCAGATTACTAGATTCCTGCCCATTTAGATTCCTGTCCATTTAAATAAGTGGTTCACAAAGGGTACATTTGGCAGCACAAACTGCCATTCTGATGTATTTGAAAGGAATATCATAAATTGTTTGGTTTATTGAAAGAGTAGTTTCTGCCAGTTAATAGATTACTGCATTCTAGGACAGCATTTCATGGTACATTAGGCAAACACCAAATGAGAATATTATTTACTCTCCTCCTTTTACCACAGTCTTGATCTAATTTCTCATTCACTCACAGTACTGAAATGTTGAATAATTAGCCTGAATAAAAATAATTATAATGAAGAGAAGGAAAGTACAGTTTATTACAGAAGTCTGGTCTCAGATAACAGGGAAAGCCTCCATTACATTGATAAAAGAAACTGATAATTGTAGCATACTTACCAATAAAAATTCCAGTCTTCATTTTCTGCCACCTGAATCCATCCTCTTTTTTCAAAGTTGTTTATTAAAACAGATTTTTCTATGTCAGTTACCCACTTCACTTTTCCTGCCATTATCCTAAAGTAGAAGCAACCTGTTTGTACAGAAAAGTTTAAAGTTGAAAACAGGGGAGGATACAGGGAAGTAAAAGCAAAAGAAAGGTGGCACCTAGAAAATGCTTTCACCCAAGTATATTGGTTTAAAACCTAAGGAAAATAACATTCAGGCTCAGACTGAAACCCTGCATTATTCAGCTGGACAACTGCACACAAGACCACTAGTTACAGGAAGAGTTTTCACACTCCCCACCTTTTAGAAATAGGCATGCAACCTTCTCTTAAATATACTACTGACAAAACCCCCCTATTCTACACTGGGTAATGTTTAAAGAACCAGTACAGATACTGTATTGTTTCTAACTTATGAACATATATTTTTGCTTTGTTTTGAAGCAGAAAAGTTCATCTGGTTCACGTGGTGCCTATAGAATAAAAACCCTTGATTCCAAGAGAAATCCTTTACATGCTCTATCAATCAAGATTTGCAGGACCTCAGGGGAGGGAACTAAAGCCACTGACCTTGCAACTGATATCATTAAACCCTTACAGGAGGATTTCCCCAAACGTCAGGTTGTTATGAGAGTGCTTACAAAATGCATTTCAGCTCCTGACACCAGATGTCACTTTCTACATTAGATCTCTCCCAGGTCAGCCTTTTGTTGGGATCACTGGACCATTCTGGCACAAAGGGACCTGAGCAAGTGCCTTGGTCCAGCCTCCTGCTCAGTGCAAGGATACCTACGAGGTCTGGACTGTTTGCTCAAGCTTTACCCATTTATATTTTGAAAAGCCCCAAAGACACAGACAGCACAGCTTCTCTGGGCATCCCATCCCATCCCATCCCATCCCATCCCATCCCATCCCATCCCATCCCATCCCATCCCAAATATAGGAGTGGTGGTAGGGGTGGTTCTCCCTATATTTTTATTATTTTCCCTACATTTGTTATTATTTCTTACATTACTTTGCCAAAACCCACTGTGCAAAGGAGTGGGGAAGAGTTGAGTTATCACACATCCACAAGCAACACCATCTACTGCCCCTTCTACATACAACTTTCAATTGAAAAGTAAATTAAAACAGAAAATCACCTTTACTAAATGTAGCAATGTAATTAATGAATGATAATTAAACTTACTGTTAATGCAATTTCTGCAAGTAACATGTTGGACTGGAATTCAAGGGGAAGCCTTCATTTTCTAGGACTAGATATGGAGATGTACATTTGCCACCAAGCTCGAGCCCCTATTGTTTCTTTCTGGGAGGTATAACCCATATAATCCCACATGGACTATTTATCCTGTCAAATCCTACAAGGTCAAAATGTTTACTAATACACTTCAATTTTAGAATGTTTAAGACACATATTTTTATTCATGTTGGTAAAGCAATCTGAAATCAAGCTCAGATAGAAAAGAATATACAAAGGCTCAGGGTCTGTCTTCTTGTGTATGCTTTTATACAACCCCTAGTTCTACAAGGTCATGATCTTTCTCTGGGCCTTCCAGATATTACCAGAACAAAAGTAAATGAAATAATTAATTTATTTGTGTTGAAGTTTGGATGACTCACCATCAATGACTCACTAATATCACACATCACCTTGTCGTGGTTTTAAAAGTTCAAGGATTAGTCTGCTTGCAATACGATTGTCCCTTCAAAAGGAAATGCATTAAAGGCTACAATGGTATCAACCAACCACAACATAAACTTTTCAAAAGGCTTTAAACCAACGTTCTTCACATCTCCAAGCCATCCCAAGAGATTCACCAAAATTCAAACTTAACATTATACCTGTTTCTCTGACTTCTTGATCAATTCACACACAGGAAGGTGAGCTAAAATTAAGCCAGAGCTAAACACTGGAGACAGTTTCTACCACAATCAAAAGAAAAACTGCAAGACCGCAATTCTTTTCCTGTTTTAGGGACTTGGTGTCTCACATATCCCTCTTGCTACAGAAGGATTGAAAGGATAGTTATACAACTGCAGACTGAAAATTCTTCCTTGGTTTCTGCAGAGTTTGATCAATCTCAGATTATGTTTAAGTGGCCTTAAAACAAAATTTTCCAGTTTTGCATAAACTGATTGCTGAAACCCACAAACAAGAATGCACAAAAATTAATATTATTTTAATACAATGTAATTTTCTAGAGGAATCGTCTAACCTGCAAATAGGTATTCTAGATAACCCATACACATTCAAACTTCTGGTCAGCTGAACTCCTTAGCTTCACAAAAAATAAAAAAAAAGCTGCATAACACAGCCATAGCCTGCATATTTGTAGTAAGTCAAATCCTCCATAAAACGTCAGAGCTCCTACTCAAGAATCAGCAGGTATGTGACAGAGGCACAGCAGGTCTGCCACTTCTCCAAAACTTTCCTGCCCAGACTGCTCCCACGGGCAGCAAGGAGACCCGGCAGCAGCCAAACCCCCAGGTGAGACCCCTTGCCCTGGTACAAACTGATGAACTGAGATCCAAAAGCAGCCTGGTTGGCATCCCCGCTGCTGTAAGAAGACAATGGTGCTGATGGCAGAATTTTCACACCACAAAACAGGGTGAGGCTGTGCCTCCAGCACCCGACCCAGCAACCTCTATCTTCTTTTAACAGTACAATATGTAACTGTGCTTCATTATTAAGTTTACTACTGGAAAATCCAGTTCGGCTGTGCCACCAGAGGAGGCCAGGAGGGCCTGCTGTGAGATTCCCGGAGTGCTAGGGAAGGGAAGGAGGGAAGGAGCCCAAGAGTGAAAGAGACACACGGCTGTGTGTGTGGGGGGGAGAGGTGTAATGGAGGGGTGTGTATTTCTGTGTGTGGGATGTGTATGTGTGGGGTGTGTGTGGGGGGGGGATGTGCGTGGGAGGTGTTTCTGTGCAGGGATGTGTCCGTGGGGATATATGTGTGGGGTGTGTATGTGCGTGATGTATGTGCGTGATGTATGTGCGTGATGTATGTGCGTGATGTATGTGCGTGATGTATGTGCGTGATGTATGTGTGTGGTGTATGTGTGTGGTGTATGTGCGTGGTGTATGTGCGTGGTGTATGTGCGTGATGTATGTGCGTGATGTATGTGCGTGATGTATGTGCGTGATGTATGTGCGTGATGTATGTGCGTGATGTATGTGTGTGGTGTCTGTGTGTGGTGTATGTGTGTGGTGTATGTGTGTGGTGTATGTGTGTGGTGTCTGTGCACAGGGAAGGAGTGGGGGTGTGTGGGCTGTGTATGAGGGGGTGTATGTGGGACAGCTATGGGGCTGTGGAGGAAGGGAACGGGATTGGGACTGTGGGTGTGTGGAGGAGATGTCGGGGAGGGGACGGACACCCACGACCCGCCCCACAGCCCGCGCTCACCTGCCGGCGGCAGCGCGGCCGCCGCTCCCCTCAGCCCCGGCCGTCCCCGCCGGACGCCGCCATGGCCCCGCCCGTTCCGGCCGCCGCCCCGGGGCGGGGCTGCCGGGGCCGCCGCCGGCCATGTTGTGTGAGGGGCGGGATGGAGACCATGGCGGTGCCGGGGCTGGCGCTCCCCCGAGGGACAGGAACCTGCTGCAAGCCCGACGGGAAAGCCCCGGACCCCGCCCAGCCACCTCAGCCTCGTCCCTGCTGTCTGGGGACGTTTTTGGTCTGAAGCGTCTGCGGCCTGGGCCTGCCCCCTGGTCGGGAAACAAGTCGCTAACAAACATCAGTCCATGACTAAATGGGCGTTTGTGAAAGGCCATCGCGTGATAAAACCTTCCTGCATGTTAGCAGAATATAAAACCCCCAGGGACACTCAGTGCCAAAGTCAGTGTTTGAGCCCATCAGGTGCTAAAATGTTCATCAGCTACAGGAATAGCTCCTTTTGTATGGATACTGTTCAGAGGAAGCAGGCAACTTTTCACCCAAAAATTTCATCACGGAACCCCAGACTGGTTTGGGTTGGAAGAGACCTTAAAGCCCATCCCATTCCACTCCCTGCAGGGGCAGGGACACCTTCCACTATCCCAGGTTGCTCAGAGCCCCATCCAGCCTGGCCTGGGACACTGCCAGGGATGGGGCAGCCACAGCTTCTCTGGGAAACCTGTGCTGATGACAACAACAACGTGGTCAACAATTGTGATTCACAGTGAGAGCTGAGTGAGAAAAATAGGACATAAGAAGTTATGGTTTTAGTTCCTGTGCAGAGAAGCCCGATTTACGCATAGGAAAGTCCTTCCATAAAGAGATAATTAAGACACCGGCCACATATTAAGGTCACCGACATTCTGTGATAGGCTTGATGCAAAACAATCAATAAAACAATAAAAAGATACTACATAGTGTACCCCGGAGATGTGAAGAGTCTCCGAGGGACACTGTAAGACAAATTACATCTAATACGTACTTTGTCTCTGTATGACAAATTATTCATTAAAAAATAGATACATTATGACAGCTGAAACAAGCAGTTTGCAGTATGTTGGAGTACAGCAAATTCCTAAGAGTTTTAATTCCCCAAATAATCTGAGTACAATAAATATGCATTATGATTTGCTGGGTGATGGTACAGTAATAGGCTGTTTCAAGGATGCGACTGCACAGAAAGAGTTAATTTAATAATTCATATAACTGGAGCTATTAAATATTCCCTAGTTTAGCTATGAAAGCAGCTGCAAAATGCAGCGTCACGTGTGTGGCCACGTGCAGTGGAAATTTCCTAGCACAACAATACCTCTGGCAGCAGAAGAGAGCAGCCTTCACAGCCTTCTTTCGATGGAGAGGGTATGTCTGTCGTGGCAGCTGACAGCAAGAAAAGTGAGCCTGAATCCTCATGCTTGTCAATCCTTTTTTGTTCCGGCATCCATCATACCACATACAGAAGAAAGCTGAAAGGAAGTTCACTTTTTAAATGTATTAAATATTTCATTAAGGACAGAAACAGTTGGTTTGGTTTTGGGGTTTTTTGGTTTGGTTTTGGGGGTTTTTTTTTCTTGTTTTTTGGGGTTTTTTAGTTTTTTAAGTTAAGCGTCTTTTAGTTTAATTCAGCAGTTCTTAATTAATGCTAGAGTTCCATAGTATAAAAAGATGTTGTTTTGCTGTCTCTCTGAAATTTACATTGACCATATTACATCACAGCTAATAATAGATGCTATAGTTTTCAATATTAAGGTATCTCCACTTTTAACATTATTGTTAAAAAAGGGGAAGTGGGGTGTAATTTGAGAGCAGCTCGGTGATGCCTACTATTATTGTATCAGGAAATGCAGTGGCAGCCCTGGTGTGCTATCTTTGTGACAAAGTACTCTTATGATGACATTTGAGTATTTTATTTTAAGCTTGAGGCTACTCACAAGGTTACCTGTATGTGCAAAATTCAGCCTGGTTTCAGGAGAGGAACTATAATTGATTTGAAGTGGTAAATACAAGAATTGAAATATGAGAACCAGTGAATAGAAGAAAGCCACGACAGAAAGCAGTGATATTGCAGAGGTTAGCTTACCTTTTATTATATTGTACCTTCGAGGCAATTTTCTTCCAGCATGTACAAATGTAAACACAGCACAGTCCTTGGCATGAGCTGGAAGATAAGCTTTGCCATGTTCATTTTACAGATGAGTAAACCTCTTGTACAGAGCTTTAAGGTGAGACAAGGGGGGTTGTACTGCACAGTGCTGAAAGAAGTAGTTTGCATAAGACACACACACACAAACAGGCAAACACTTTCATACATTTAGAAACTTTGCCATGAAAATCTTAAAGACATCCCAGCTCCAGGTGGAGTGCTGTAGCTATGCTGCTGTTCTGCTTCTCCTGGTGTTTACCTTCACTCAGAGAGATGAAATCATACTATAAATAGAGGGCAAAGTCCACTCTCAAACATTACCTGGTGAAGTCTCCTGTTTGACATGACAATAAAATGTGGAGCAATAGGTGGTTTGGTTCTTTAGAGCCCTTTGCAGTACACTGTGCTCTCTTAGTGTGATACTGACTGAATCACAACACTGCTATCACCAGCACAAAAGAAAAACACCCAAAGTCCCATGACCTCACTAAACCTTTTGGACAAGGTGTCAGTAGGTTTCAGCAGATCTCTCTTTAACCCCTCAGTAACTCTGCATTGGCTGTGCTGCCAGGGCTTCTCCTGCTCTCTGCTTCACACTCTTTTTCCTCAGGTACCTTAGAGACAGTTGGGGATGCTATTTTTGTTGCTAAACTGAACTAAGAGGAAAGCCTGCTCCTCCCTGTTTTTAAGTGAACACCACCATCACATTTCCAAACCAAAGCCCAGCGCAGGCTCCAGCATGCTCAGTATGCTTAAAAAACCACATGGGCCCACTGAGAGCAAGGACAGCCATTTGGAACAGGGCTCCGTCTGCAAAAGGGGTCGGCAGGGCCTGCTCACGCCACTTGGCATCTCCCGCCGGTGTGGGCGCAACGCTCACGCATGATGTGGTGGCCGGGGTGCTGTGGTGACCAAAGTGCTGTGGTGACCAAAGTGCCATGGTGGCCAGGGTGCTGTGGTGGCCAGGGTGCCATGGTGGCCAAAGTGTAATGAACGAGGGCAGAGCTTTTAGCTGAAAGCCACCCGGTCGTATGAAACAGAGTAACAACTTTCTTGTAAAAAGAGACACTCGTTTATTAAAAGCAGCTGTAGAAAACGGAGGACCCGAGATAAGCCCGAGTCCCCTCGCAGCAAGCCGGAAAAACGATACAAATGTGTCGAACCCCCAACACACCGGGCGCTCCTTCGGAAACTCCTCTGGAGAGCAACAAGCAGGACCCTGACAGCCCCTTTTATATCCCCCTTGGGTCCAGGATTGGTGGGATTTGGATCCCAGTGATAATTGGTCCGTTTTGGGGGCTTTTATTGGTCCTTATCACGGTTCATTCCTGTCCAATCATTCTTTCGGGGCATCGAGTGATTGGACCGCTCCTTCCGCCAATCTCGTCTTGTGGCGCTGATGTCACTGCGCTGGCCTCACTCTCAAGGTGTTACCACGCCCCTCAGGAACAACCCCCACGCCATCCTGGACCCCTTTAAACTTTTAACAAACATTAATTTAACTTATTGTAACATTTTAACTAACTTCAAACACAATAAACTCTTCATAAAGCCACAACGGGGAAACAATTAATTTAGAAAATTAACAACCTTAACTTGCAACAAACGAACCAATTTTTACCCATAGCAAAAGTGCCATGGTGGCCAGGGTGCTGTGGTGACACGAGTGCTGAGGTGGCCAGGGTGCCGTGGTGACCGCGGTGCCACGATGGCCAGGGTGCCGTGGTCACCAAGTGCCGTGGTGGCCACGCAGAGGTCCATCGCTCCAGGGCCGCTGTCCCACCGAGGGGTGATCCACGCCCGGGGCCATCCGCCCCACCGGCTCCCCCCGAGGCGCCGCCAGCCCCGCGGCGCCGGTAGCGCCCGGGCGGGCGGGCGGGCGCCCGGGCGGGCGGAGGTGCCGGCTGTGCCGGCGGTTCCGGCGGTGTCCCTGGCGGGGCGGGGCGGCGCGGCCGGGCCGGGGCGGGGCGCGGGCGGACAAAAGGGGCAGTCGGGCGGGATCGCCGCCGTGAGTGGCCGGCGCGGGGGGCGCGGGGAGCCCCCTTTGCTGACGCGCGTCCGCGACGCGGCGGGGACTCCGGGCCCAGGTGAGCGGCGGGGTCCCGGCGAGAACGCGGGGGGAGCGGGGGGAACCCGGCCGGGCTCTCCGGGCAGACCCAGGCTGCGCTCCCGGGGAGCTGCGGAGTGCCGAGGGTTGCTGGCGGTGCCGGGACCCGCCGCCTCACCTGCGCGCCCGGCCCCGCCAAGTGTCCCAGGACGTTTCACGGGCAGCACCTCCGCCGGGGCTGGCGCCGAACATCTTCGGCTTCGGGAGGTGGGATCGATGTCCTGTAACAACGCAGCGGGCGGGGGTGAACGCCGTGCCCGCGGGCGGGGAGCGTCCGGCACCGGCTGCTCAGCCCCGGCAGGGACCTGCGCCCTTCCGAAGGATGCTGCGAGCACCCGTGCGCTTTGTACTCAACTACGGTGTTCTAAGCAAATGAGGAGCGGAGTGCGGGTGCTTTCACTCTTCGCAAAGCAGGAAATAAGCCCTCAAAAAAAGTCCAAGATATGTAACAAAATATGCCGGAGTTAAACATATTAAAAAATCCCGGAATAAGTCGTTTACTGTATCTACGTACGTTTAAAACGATGCTGTTGATAACAGGAATGATCTGCAACAGCAGAGATGGATACAGAAATATGTACGGCAGCGTATACTCAGTAATGTTTAAGTCATTTCACAAGGAGTGATTTCATCAGCGTGGTGAGTTCTGTGATTAAACAGATTTCGAGGTGTTTAAGTGGAAAGCATTAGCCTGAGATTTCTTCTCAAGGCCATAGCAGAAAGACAGACACGTGTAAAACAGGAAGACAGAGAAGACTCCATTGTCATTTTCTGTCGCAGGTACATGGACAAAGTTATTTTGAATTAAAGTATTGTGGGCACATTTTTTTTTTCATTTAGTGCATGTCAGCTGAATGAGAGTTAGCACTGAGTATAACGAAGAAGAAAATCAGAATTTATGCAAGGTGTTTCATGTCTTCGATGTAAAAGTATCATCTCTGTAGAGACACAGTCTTTCTGAAAGAAGAAGTTTAACAAAATTGCCTACTTCTCCTGTTTGGTAGGTGTCTGGTAGTTCTTTTTAATGATTTCTGTATCAATAGGCCATTGATCATAAGACCATTTAGATCAGACTAAAAGAAATTTAATGGATTCAGCTTCTGCAGGGTAACAGCCTGCTGGGCAAAGCAAGAGCTGGTGGGAGTAGAATAGGAACTGTGAGCTTGACCCAATACAGGAAATCTAAGTAAAACTGCAAACAGCGTGGCATTTTCATTCTCTATACTGATGTTCAGAACAAGCATCAATACTGAGATAAATTTGAGTTCTTTGACTCACAGTCACACGGTTCTTGCATATCAAGTTTCTCTCACGTTCCCAATGTGGCAGCAGTAACTGGGATTTCAAAGGCACCTGTAGAAGATGCTACCAAAGGTCATAGAAAATTGTGAGTTTTCTGACCACATATCCAAAAAAGTGTCCCTAAATGGGACAGGCTGGAGGTGCAGGGTGACAGTGTGGCTGCTGTGCTGTGCAGTGCTAAGGGGACCAGGTGAGGGAAAATGCAACCCATAGCTCTCCCAGGTGTGCCAGCTTTTAAATATTAGGAATTATCAGGTTTAAATTAAAAATGTTATTTGGTCCATTGAAGCTCAGCATCTGCCTCAGCGTTTTTATAGGTTATGACCTTGGTGACCAGCATCCTTGAATTCTGCATTTAATATCAAGGCATGAATCCCATCATCCCCCTGCTGAGGATGCCAGCAGGTTCCCTGCAGGTACTTTACCCTCCAAGTGGATGGGGTGGTTGAATAAGGTCTCTTAAGTACATAAGATTTTAATTTTTAATTTGATAGAACACATCTTAAAATTAAGGATTCAGATTTTACTATGCAGCTGTATTAATAATCGTGAGCTTTGCATAAACTTATTGAACACCAATAACAACTTTTACAATCTGCATCATTTATTTTAGGAGCTTTCAAAAATACAAAAATCTAAGACACAAAAAATTGGAATAAATGTGAACTAAGAAACATTTTTCCATTCATAGATTATTGAACCATATATATTGCCATACTTACCTCCAACAACTTGGCCATGCAATTCAAGAATCAACTTTAAGCAAGTTCTTATTTATTATATAAGAATCTTGATCTTTTGGTGAGACAGAGAAGTACAAAGGGCAGAAGATGTTTTGAAAAGGAAATGTAAATGTTAGAGCAGAATCTGACCCAATCTAAACCTTGTTATAAACAAGTAAAGCAAAGGCAATATCCCTGAGACAGGTGGTGCTGTCCCAAAAAAAAAAAAACAAAAAACCCAGAACAGAGCCTGGTAGAATGTGTGTGTGGTTTTGGGTTTTCTTAATAGAAATAGTTTCACTGTGGTATCAATATATTCTTCTCTTCAATGTTCTTAGTTCTTCCCATGACACCTCTTGGGAGCTGAATGGGTTTGTTTTGATAAAGGCAGACACCCCTTGTTTTTTTTTTCAGTTTAGAAGCCATTGAAGTAAGTTTGTGAGCACTGAAGGAATCAGTAGACTCTTTAAGGAAAATTATACTTTTTAGGCTTATCAAATGATGGCTTTTTAATGCAGACAAAACTGTGCCATCTACTTTTTAAGGCGGAAATCTCTTGTTCTCTACAGTCAGTTTTCTGTCACAGTAAGGACTGGTGCTCGGAAATGCTGATGATACATAAAAATCCTGAGATTCTTCAAGTCTTGACTCAATCTGTACATGCTCTTTGCTGTAAAAGATTTCCTCCATTTGAAGTCTGCTGTACACATTTCTTTTGCTACTGAGGTTACAGAACTTGCTTAAGGAGCACATTTTTTATGTTTAAATATAATCAAATGCTTAATTCCTATTATGTTCTGAGGTAAGAAAACCTCTGTTACATTCCCAGTGGAGGTGTGTTATCATACTAACTTACTGAGCATAAAAGCAGAAATGAAGTAAAATGTAAGAAGTACAGCATGTATTTTTTAGATTTACCAAGTGTCCCTTAATAGCTGTTTGAGGCAATATTAAGAAGTGTTTTGTGTAAACAGTGTCCAAGGTCATTGATGTTAAGCTGACTGAGAACATGGTAGGAGACAAATAATTAATTTATCTTTGCTCCTTGACCTGATACTGCTTTAAGAGTTCATCTAGCACCCGGGTTAACTAACCTGCACAAAATGAGTAATGGTGACTTAACCTCTCATCTTTCAAAGGGAAACTCAGGTTGCTGATGGTTACCCTGCAGCATTTTGCTATGAGCTGTGCTGGTTCCAAAGGCAGGGGTCTCCTGGTGCCCACGGGCTGTGTGCTGCCCATGGCTCACAGCATCTGACCTGCAAGGGAAGAGGGCCAGAAGGCAACTGCTGCTCATTGACAGAGGTCGTAGGAGAGCCTAAAGAAAACCAAACAAAAAAATGCCTGAGATTTTAAAGTGTGTATTCCTGCATGCCGAATATTCCTGTTTCTCTGAAACCTTAACTAGCTCTTGATCTTCAGTCACTATGTCAAAGACTTGTCCTTGTAAAATAGCACAGAGA